CCAGTAAAACAGTAGTATGAAATGTATTCACCCAATTTCGTTTAAGGTGATGAAGGACTGGTAGAAGAAGAATTTTCCCACAATGATATGATTTTAGCTGACTTTTCCATTGAATTTCACATAGCCTTGCTTTCCCAATCGAATTTTCCCACAATGATATGAGTTGAGCTGACGTTTCCATTGAATTTCACATAGCCTTGCTTTCCCAAAGTATAATTTTCCCACAATGATATGAGTTGAGCTGACGTTTCCATTGAATTTCACATAGCCTTGCTTTCCCAAAAATTGTTTCCTTCATGCTTAAACGAAATTGGGTGGATACATCTCATATTGAGAATTTACTTTATTTTTCGAATTAAGTATTGTTTTCTTGACTATCAGTAAATCAGTAAATCAGTGAAATTCAATGGAAAAGTCAGCTGAACTCATATTATTTTGTGAAAATTCTACTACCAGTCCTTCATCACCTTACACGAAATAGGGTGAACACATCTCATTACACTGATTTACTGGTAGTCTCGAAACCCTACTCAAATATGACTATAAGAATTGATAGTCGGGTTTTCCAACATAGTTTTGACTTTGATACCACCTTGCGGTCAATATGGCGAGTGTATCACTCCACTCTACTACACATCCGCAGATGTGACATACAAAGCAAGTCAAACTTCTCCCGACTAACATTGTATATACGAAGAGTAAGTGGATCTCGATAAATCTCCTGGGATCACATTGTTGGGCAAACTTTCATTTTGTATAAAGATGCATGAATAAGAGATTCGTAGGTCGACGTCACCAGAAGACGAATGAAGCCGTTTGACCAAAATACAACGTTAAGATTAGCGCAGTCCATGAGACAGTCTTCCTCGTTTCGCTCGAAAATGGGCTAAAGCTGGAACAATTTCTTATGAAAATCACACATTTTATAGTGCGAGTCTCGACAAGTGTTTTCCATTGCAGCCGATGGATTAGCCGATGAGTTTTCTTGACTCGTTAGCTTGAATTTTGTTGTGACGATGTTACCTCGCTCTGATTATGTCCGTCAAATGACGGAACTTTTTATCGGAATCGAAGAAGATTGCCTCGTAAACAGCGTCAGCATGAATGTTCCAGTAAAGCCAATTGGCAGTTGGTCAAGAGGAATCGGCCGTTGTCTTCTGGTGGAACCGACCTTCGAATCTCTTCACCCAACACTTTCACTCGAAACGGAAGTAAGCTCAAC